TCTTTTTGAGGGAATGAGGGAATTGGGTGCCATGTCCGATAATACCTGTGTGGCTATGCACAGGGAGATAATCAATCATTCCCTCCTTTCGTATGAAGAACCAGTAGGTTCAGGGTTTCGGGTTCTAGACTCAGGAGAAACCTAGGAATAAAAGGGTGCCCTTGTTGGTTTTAAGGGGATTATAAGGGCAAAAAAAGGGAATAAGGGCCTACTCGGGGTCCTAGTAGCCCTAAACCCTAAACCCTAAACCCTAAACCCTAAACCCTAAACCCTAAACCCTAAACCCTAAACCCTAAACCGAAACGCTCAGTGCGCCCTGAGCTCAACTGCAGTCGTGCTGAGTATGGCACTGGCCGGGGTCGTCTCATCATCGGCCGCTGGACCTCACTTGAAGGCTCATGGGCACCCCTAAACGCTAGACCCTAAACCCTAAACCCCAACCCTAAACCCTAAACCCTAAACCCTAAACCCTAAACCCTAAACCCTAAACCCTAAACCCTCAAACCCTAAACCCTAAACCCTAAACCCTAAACCCTAAACCCTAAACCCTAAACCCTAAACCCTAAACCCTAAACCCTAAACCCTAAACCCTTACCGGTACAATTAGAACTAAGTGATGTTGCACCCGGCTTGGTGTGCCGCCCTCCCTCCCCACGAACAGTTCATTTCGGAGCCAACTCTGGAGCCCCCAAACAGTCTACTGCAAACTTGACTTTCTAGAGGGGTCCCCTACTAGAAGCAGTCTTCCTTTAGCCCAAGCCCTACATTGCGACTCCCATAACCCCTCAGAACTCTACACCCGAACCCCTAAACATCCTAAACCCCCACCCCTCCCCCTGAACCAACCCCCAAACACTCCCAACCGCTAAACCCCCAAACCCTCAAACGCTTGGGGTTCTCCATGCCCTCAAAGCCCTACACCTCAAAACCCACGAACCCTAAACCCTAAACCCGAATCCTTGCAGAAAGTGGCGTTCAGGCGCCGGGTGTTGTTCTGGCTCATCGCCGCATCGCAGGAGGCCTGGGTATATCGCACCAGAATCAATGTCGAATAGGGTTTAGGACTTAGGGCTTAGGGCTTTAGGGCTTTAGGGCTTTAGGGCTTTAGGGCTTTAGGGCTTTAGGGCTTTAGGGCTTTAGGGCTTTAGGGCTTTAGGGCTTTAGGGCTTGGGGCTTGGGGCTTGGGGCTTGGGGCTTAGGGCTTAGGGCTTAGGGCTTAGGGTTTAGGGTTTAGGGCTTAGGGCTTCGGGCCTAGGGCTGTCTTAGGTTTAGGGGGGGGGGGGGGGGTTATTATCGTACAAAAACTAAAACAAAGGGGCCATAAGGGAATACTGTTGGTAGTTATCCCGACCCTTTTCTTAGAGAGCATCCCAGTCGAGTTGGATAGCCTGCGTATAAACGGGGTCCCCAACTAAGGGCCCCTCTTTAGGGCTCTCCCTCTTTAGGGCTCCCCTCTTTAGGGCTCCCCTACAATAAACCCCCAACACCATATCTCTCTCAACTCCCCTAAACCCTGAATCCCTCGCTAAACTCCCTAAAATCGCTAAACTCCCCAAACGCCCTAAACGCCCTAAACTCTCTAAACTCGCTCAACTGGCTAAACTCCCTAAACTCCCCACACTCCTAAACTCCCCAACCCCTAGACCCCGAGCCCGAAATCCTGTAGAAGCCAAAGTCGCAGGATTGCTGGCAATACAAGCCGCCAAAGTCCTGCCGAGTGAAAATGTTCAGGGTGAAGGGTTTCAGGGTTTAGGGTTTCAGGGGTTAGGGTTTCTGGGTTTAGGGTTTAGGGTTTCAGGGCTGTTTAGGGTTTAGGGCTCTTTAGGGTTTAGGGCTTAGGGCTGAGGGCTTAGGGTCTAGGGTTTAGGGTTTAGGGTTTAGGGTTTAGGGTTTAGGGTTTAGGGTTTAGGGCTTACCTGTAACTTTCAAACCTACAAAATTATACGTTGTAACCCCCAAACATATGTAGCGCATCCCCCCCAAAATAGAAGGTAAATGGAGCTCCAGGTAGGGTTTCAGACCCAAGAGAAACCTAGGAATATGAATGGTGCCCCTTTTGGTTCAAAGGGGCTGATAAGAAAACCTAAACCCTCAAAATGAAAGAAAATTGTTTCACTCGAACATCCCCACCCTCTCTGGGTAGAGATACTCCAGGGCACTCCAGGGAAATCTGGGGCTAGGCACTCCAGGAACACTCTGGGGGTGGGGTTGGGCACTCCAGGGAGACTCTCTAGGGTTGGGCACTCCAGGGATGAGCGAGGAGTAGAATCCGGGCGAGGAGAAGAGTTGAGTTCCATGAGTTTAAACTCAAACAACCCCACACCGAGGGTGTGGGGAATAAGGGCCTACTCCGGATTCGAGGTTTACCATTCCCAGGTCAAAAAGAAACCCCTTCAAAATCGAGCATCCGAGCGCTGAGGCTCTGAACCTTCAACTCCCAAACCTTCAACGGAAAGCCGATGACCCTCTCACACCATAACCCTACCAGTCCCAAAACCAAAAAGCAACCCTAAGCGTCGCTGTCCAGCTTCGTAAGGGGAACTCAAGGTCAACCTTTGGGGTTCAGGGTTTAGAGTTTAGGGTTTAGGGTTTAGGGTTTAGGGTTTAGGGTTTAGGGTTTAGGAAAGGTTAACTACACTACTACCAAGTAGGTCCGAAAGCCCTCCCCCCCTTCCCAGCCTGTGCTCGCAGAAAAGACCCCTGATGCTTGTGGCCTTTCACCGAGGGTAAGGGGGCTTACGGTGTTTTACAGGTTTTGACAGGTGCGTTAGGGTGTTCAAGGCTTTACAGGTTTTCAGTGTATTTAAAGGTGTTAAGGGGTTTTGGGGCTCTTTTTTGGGGTTTAGGGAACCCTAAACCCTAAACACTAAACACTAAACCGGGCTTAGGGGTTTAGGGTTCGCAGAGCTTTTGGGGTTTTCAGGGTTAGGGGTTATAGGGTTTGGGGTTTAAGGGTTAAGGGTTAAGGGTTAAGGGTTTAGGGTTTAGGGTTTAGGGTTTAGGGTTTAGGGTTTAGGGTTTAGGGTTTAGGGTTTAGGGTTTAGGGTTTAGGGTTTAGGGCTGCAGGGGAGAGCCGTTAGGGTTGTAGGGTTCAGGGCTTTTGTAAGCCCCATGTTTCAACACTCGCTTCGGGAAACCCCCATACTTTTTGAAGCACTCCATTCTCCATTCTGGGTTCGGCTGGAGGTTCAGGGCACTTTCTATCCTGTACTTAGAACCCACTTACAAGCCCCTTAAGTGCCCGAATATGGATAGAATTTTGGCGAGAAGTACAGTTATCATTGGCTAAGAAGTACCATGAACCTTGAACCCTAAACCCTCAACCCTAGACCCTAAACCCTAAACCCTCAACCCTGAACCCTAACCCCTAAACCCTAAACCCTAAACCCTAAACCCTAAACCCTAAACCCTACACCCCAGCCGGGGTGTAGGGCTTCGGTAAAGGCCTCCGGCATGGGGGGGTTACGGGCTTGGGGGCTTGGGGTGGTGTAATGTTGAGGTCTGGGCTTCGACTTCTCGAGGTTTAGGGTTTGGGGTTTAGGGTTTGGGGTTTAGGGTTTAGGGTTTAGGGTTTAGGGTTTAGGGTTTAGGGCTTAGGGTTCAGGGTTTAGGGTTTAGGGTTTAGTTTTTATGGTTTAGGGTTGCTAACCCCGAGCCACACATGGAAGGCGGCCAGGGCACAAAGGCCGCAATTGCGGACGCATACCTTTGATAGGGTTCTTAAGGGAGGGGGGTTCAAGGGGCTTCCCTAATTTCCTACCCTCCATGAACCCCCCTCCCTGAAGAACCCTACATACCTTGGGCCTGGGAAGAGAAGCCTTCGCGGGAGCCTTACAGGGAGGCCAGGGGCGTGTGCTAGGGAGTAAACCCTCAACCCTAAACCCTCAACCCTAAACCCTGAACCCTGAACCCTAAAGCCTAAACCCTCAACCCTCAACCCTCGACCCTCGACCCTCGACCCTCAACCCTCAACCCTCAACCCTCAACCCTCAACCCTCAACCCTCAACCCTCAACCCTCAACCCTCAACCCTCAACCCTCAACCCTCAACCCTCAACCCTCAACCCGCAACCCTCAACCCTCAACCCTCAACCCTCAACCCTCAACCCTCAACTCCAAATCCAGGGAGCCTTTTCGGGTGAAGGGGTAGTATACGGGTATGTTGAAATAATCTTAGAGCCTTGGAGCCTGTAGCAAGGGGGCGGAAGGGCTGTACCTTCTGGGATTTAGGGTTTAGGGCTTAGGGTTTTCGTGTTCTAGGGTACCCTAAACCCTAAACCCTAAACCCTGAACCCCAAACCCTAAACCCTAAGCCCTAAACCCTAAGCCCTAAACCCTAAACCCTAAACCCTCCCAAACAAGGGTCCTTGTGAAGGGAAGGCTTCGAGGCCTTGCTGGGGACCTAAACCTACAAGCCCCAGAAGCGCTACAAACCCAAACCCACCGACCGCAACATCCCTTATCCGGAGACCCCCCGTATCCCCTGAGGGTTTAGGGTTGAGGGTTTAGGGTTTGGGGTTTGGGGTTTAGGGTTTAGGGTTTAGGGTTTAGGGTTTAGGGTTTAGGGTTTAGGGGTTCGAATGTAGTTTTCAGTGTGGCAGGGAGGATCCGCAAATGATTTACGCAGTCTTCCCTGCACAAGGGGCATCGGAGTCTAAATGCTCAGATTGCATCTTCCCCCAAACCCACTCGAAACCCAAACCCTACTTGAAGGTTCGTGGTACCTATTAACCAATTATAGCTGCACTTAGAATACCCACTGACAAGCCCCTTAAGTGCCCTGATATGGAAGTAGACCCTAACCCCTAAACCCCAAAAACGCAGCAGGTGGTAAGGGGTTGAGGCTGTGCCTGGGATCGGGGTTGCAAGGGTTAAGGGCTTAAGGTGTTGCAGTCTGAGGGTTTAAGTTTAGGGGTTTAGGGGGTTCCGGGGTTTTCAGCTGAGCGTCTGCGTCGTCTTGACAAGATCCGCTTTGGAGAGGTCATCCTAAGCTCTGCTTACCGAACCCCGCACTCTAACACCCTAGAACCCTCGAACCCTACCGCCCTAGCACCCTAGAACCCTAGAACCCAGAACACCCTGTAACCCTCGAACCGACAACCCTGAACCCTAAGCCCGAAGCACCAAGCCCTAAGCCCTAAAGCCTGAACCCCAAGCCCTTGTTCGGCCTCGAGGGGGGATCTGACCCCAGAAGTGGGCGTAGGGTTGAGGGTTTAGGATTAGGGTTGAGGGTTTGGGGTTTAGGGTTAAGGGTTTAAGGTTGAGCATTGAAAGTTGAGGGCTACCAAAACGTTAAACTTTCAACCAGAGATGCAGGTTTAGGGTTTTTTCGGGTGCCCTGAAGCCTGAACCTCAAACTCTAAACCCTAAACCCCGAACCGTAAATCCTACTCCCTAATCCCTGTGGTTTCAGCTGTGGCGAGGCGAGTGTAGACCCCTTTGCAGACCCCCGCTTTGAATCCCTTGTGACCGAATTGTCTAAGGGGTTGCAGGGTTTTGGGTTTGGTGGGGTTTCGGGTTTGGGACCCGAAACCCTCAACCCTAAACCCTCAACCCTAAACCCCAAACCCTAAACCCTCAACCCTAAACCCCAAACCCTAAACCCTCAACCCTCGGGCTGAGGGTTTGGGACCCTTTGACCTCCGCCCAGGCTCGTAGATGGACCCAAAGCTGCCGTTGACCAGGGCAAGATCCGGGCAAGCAGCGAAGCAGGATTCCTGTCAACGATACAAGGTTTAGGGTTTAGGGTTTAGGGTTTAGGGTTTAGGGTTTAGGGTTTAGGGTTTAGGGTTTAGGGTTTAGGGTTTAGGGTTTAGGGTGTAGGGTTTAGAGCTTCGGGCTTCGGGGTTTTGTGATTCCCTAAACCTGAAGCATACAAGCCCTAAACGACCACACCATGCAAGGCCTCCAACTTCTAATCCGGCCTATCCTGATTCAGAGTTTAGGGTTTAGTGTTTAGGGTCTACCAGAACCCTGGGAGTTTAGGGTTTACGGTCTAATCCCTGCTCACTGCTCAGCCCGAGCCCCGAAACCTCCAACCAGGCTAGTCGCAAGAGACACCCCCTCCCTTCCCACGCACCGCAGCTTTCACGACATTTGGAGGAGGCTTCTAGAAAACCTTGGGCCTCTTCAGCGTCTACACCCAAGCCCTAGACCCTAAACCCTGCAACCCTCATTGCAGCCCAGGGGGCGGGGAAAGGCGTCTGCTGCGTGAAGGTTTGCACTGCCTCCCAGGAGCTTCTCTCTGCTTTTCACTGCTTTTCATTGCCAGGCTTTGCAGGGTTCTCAGTAGGGTTTAGGATTTAGGGCTTAGGGTCCTAAACCCTGTTACCCAACAAAAAAGCGGTATTCTTGGGATGCTTTTGGACATCCCACAAGAACTCATGTACGTTCACCCGTGTGGGTCGAGGGGTATGAAGAGAGCTCGGGTTGAATGTCGTCGGGGTGTAGGGGCCTTACACTAAACCCCTAAACCCGAAACCCGAAACCCGAAACCCCAAACCCCAAACCCTAAACCCTAAACCCTAAACCCTACATGAGGTGGCTGAGCTCCAGCATGGTCCGAAGGGGGAAACGAACGGGCGCTCGTCCTGAGTAGGGTGGTTAGGCAAGTTGGCTTAGGGTTTAGGGTGTAGGGTGTAGGGTGTAGGGTGTAGGGTTTAGGGTTTAGGGTTTAGGGTGAAGGGTTAAGGGTTTAGGGTCTTGAGGGTTTAGGGTTTAGGGTTTAGGGTTTAGGGTTATCAGACCCTCGGGCCTATACCCCAAACCTCGATTTCACACCGAAGGCTGCAACCCCATCGAGACATCCCATCTTTGAGGAATGTTTGGGGGGCTTGGGAGTCGGAATTGGGGCGGCCCTACGAACCTACAAACCCTATACTGCAGATGACCCAAGCATCCGACAAGTATATGTGTAACACCTGCCACAGAAGTAGGCTTTCCGTTGCTGAGGGAGGGTTTCGGGTACTTCGCGGTTCTTAGTAGGCTGTTGATAACAGGTTCATATCCTCGGATGTGAGGTTCGCTTCCCTACTAAGCAGCCAGCAACCTGAGGGGGCTGTGAACCCTACATACCCTGAACCCTAAACCCGAAACCCGAAACCCTAAACCCTAAACCCTGAACCCTAAACCCTAAACCCTAAACCCTAAACCCCACGACGGTTTGCCCAGAACCCCCGGGGCAACTGCGCAGCGCGCCTCGGCGGCAGTGTCGTTGCCGCTGTTGTTGTAAGCCTGGGGGATGGTTTTTGGCAAAGCTGACGCCCAGGAGGGTGCGGAACCCTGAACCCGAAACCCTAAACCCAACCCTAAACCCTAGCCCTAAACCCTAAACCCTAAACCCGAAACCCTGAACCCGAAACCCTAAACCCTAAATGCAACAAAAGCAAGAAAACGCCACAGGGGGTTCTTAAGAGGAGCTCAGGTCGAGGGTAGTTGCGGGGCTCGTCTTTTCAAAAAAATGTTCCTTCATTCGTTTAACTTTTTGGGTTTAGGGTTTAGGATTTAGGGTTTAGGGTTTAGGGTTTCTGGTTCAGGGTCCGTTGAAACCTGTTGCGCCTGGTGGTGCCTTTGTCGCCCCACTGGCACATTTTGGGATCTCTTGTGGCCCTTTGCGCCCGAACCTCAAAAACCCTAATTGTGGGAATTGAGGGGACAACCTTGGGATGTTCACCCTTATACTAACAGCCCTCAATCGGGATTGAAATAGGGGGTACCATAATCCCTACTAAGGACTGTTAGTATAAGGGGGAACACCCCAACCATAAACCCTAAACCCTAAATCATGTCCTTTCCACGAAAGAAGATCAACCCCCATAATATGATGCCATGTGCGGCAGCGCAATGCGTCCGTTTAGAGTTTGGAGAATTATGGCCACGTCTCTAGACTGTGGTCCCTTTTGGTGTGCCCTAAGAATCAGGGGCCGCCTTGTAATAAGGACCTTGGGATGTTCCCCCTGTCCTTCATAGGGATTATGATAGGGGTTACGATTATCCCTATTAAGGATTATTCAGGACTTTTCGTTTAAGGGGGGAACATCCCAACAAGGAACTGTTTGAGGGGGCCTTGGGCTCCCGAAATCCGCGCGCCTGCAGACGTCGCAGGCGCGGGCGCTGGGTGTCGCCGGCGCCTGAGGCTCGTAATTTCAAAGGGACTAACGGTGGAACCCTGAAATAGGGGAATAAGATTAAGGGTCCCCTCTAGGGGTCCCTCCTTATACCTTAACCGTTCTCATGGGGCCCCTCGCGCCCTACAGAGCTGCTTCTGGTGAGAGAGCCTTGAGGGCTCACAGGTTTACAGTGCTTCTATGGCTTGTAGGTTGGGATATTACCCCCTTATACTAGCAGTCCTTAGTAAGAATGACAATAGGGGTACTACTATAATCCCGATTAAGGACTGTCAGTATAAGGGGGAACATCCCAACTTCTATGGCTTGTCGCGTAGGAGCTGGGGCTCAGGCACTCTCGACAGGAAGGAGCTTATTGGGGGGCGGGGGGGGGGGGTGGCTTGTTGTAGAGCCCTCATATGAAACCCTAGCTCAACCCTGCTTGGAGGTTCAGACGACTCACAACATATCACCCCCATCACTTTACTTATAAGCCCCCCCCAAATCCACATCCCCCAAGTAGGTTATAAGTAGCCTTCTAGTAGGGGTTGGAAGTCCCCATGAAATCAACCCTAAACCCTAAACCCTAAACCCTAAACCCTAAACCCTAAACCCTAAACCCTAAACCCTAAACCCTAAACCCTAAACCCTAAACCCCCACATCCGAAGCCCGGGGGCCGGCAGCCACTCCCAGGAGCAGCGCGACGCGCCACATTGAAACGCCCCCCATCCGTGCAGACCTAGGGTTTAGGGTTTAGGGTTTAGGGTTTAGGGTTTAGGGTTTAGGGTTTAGGGTTTAGGGTTTAGGGTTTAGGGTTTAGGGTTTAGGGTTCAGCAGCTCCGGGTCGAGCAATCTCCAGTAGAGCCGCTGTTTGGGCTCTCGCAAAACATTAAGAAATAATATATTTTTCATCAGCAAGCCCTGTCCTCCAACATGGACCATACCCACGAACCATTTCATCGGCCACAGGGTGGGGGGGGGGAGGGGGAGGGGGGGGGGGCCCACAGAAAAGGTGGGGAGGGGCGGATGGGAGGGGGGGGGGGGGGAAGGGGGGGGGGGAGGGGGGGGGGAAGGGGGGGGGGAAGGGGGGGGGGGGGAAGGGGGGGGGGGAAGGCGGCGGGGGAAGGCGGGGGGGGGGAGGCAAGAAATGACCTTTAGCACGTGACCCTACGAAGAAATTACCCTTAGCCACGAAGAAATTACCCTTAGCCACGAAGAAATGAACCTTAGCCACGAAGAAATGACCCTTAGCCACGAAGAAATGACCCTTAGCCACGAAGAAATGACCCTTAGCCACGAAGAAATGACCCTTAGCCACGAAGAAATTACCCTCAGCCACGAAGAAGTTACCCTTAGCCACGAAGAAATTACCCTTAGTTATGAAGAAATTACCCTTAGCCACGAAGGAAATGACCCTTAGCCACGAAGGAAATGACCCTTAGCCACGAAGAAACCCTTAGCCACGAAGAAATGGCCCTTAGCACCCAAGAAATGGCCCTTAGCGACCAAGAAATTGCCCTTAGCGACGAAGAAATGGCCCTTAGCAGTGTTAAATATCATTTTTCAAAAATCGTCATTGCGAATTTGCGAATTGTTTTTTGCGAAGAAATTGCCCTTAGCCACGAAGAGCCACGAAGAAATGACCCTTAGCCACGAAGGACTATAGGGTTTAAATATATATGTGATAGTGAGGTTTAGGGTTTAGGGTTTAGGGTTTAGGGTTTAGGGTTTAGGGTTTAGGGTTTAGGGTTTAGGGTTTAGGGTTTAGGGTTTAGGGTTTAGGGTTTAGGGTTTAGGGTTTAGGGTTAAGGGTTAAGGGTTAAGGGTTAAGGGTTTAGGGTGTAGCACGGGTCAGCTGTACGCAGTTGTGTGCAGACATGCCCACCCCAGGGCCACCCAAACACTACTTGCAGCGAAACAAACCAGAGCCAGCCGAATCAAAGCCAGCGCACATTCAAACACTCCTGCACTCAATGCTGTACTTCGGACTAGTATCCAATATGTTTCTTGATGTTACGAAATTTGCTATGAAGATGCCTTGCTACATGGTAACATCTAAGAAGCTGCCTTAGAAATAGAACCTCCTGAGAGAAAATTCAGATGTTGCGTTGGGGGACGTCTTCGGCCGGATGGCCTTCTCATTGGTTTTATTCTCTATGCCGGGGTGGTAATATCGAAGAAGATGCCTTGAAAAAGACAGTGGAAGTGAACCGCACGGTGAAAGACCTGTTGTTCGAAAGGTGCCTTGTGAAAGTCATGCCGAAGCTTGCAGGAGAAAATTCAGGTTTTGCGCGGGGGGACGTCTTCGGCCGGAGGGCCTTCTCATTGTTTCTGTTCTCTACGCCGGAGTGTCAAGGCTGCATGGCGAAAGACTTGTTGCTAGAAAGGTGCCTTGTGAAAGTCATGTCTAGAAACTTGCAGGAGAAAATCCAGGTTTTGCGCTGGGGGACGTCTTCGGCCGGAGGGCCTTCTCATTGTTTTTTATTCTCTATGCCGGAATGTCAAGGCTGCGTGGCGAAAGACCTGTTGCAGAAAGCTACCTTCGGAACGTCGTGTCTAGAAGTGTTTGTATTCTCTATGCCGGAACGTCAAGGCTGCATGGCGAAAGACCTGTTGCTAGAAAGGTGCCTTCAGGACAAAGTTCAGGTTTTACGCTAGGGGACGTCTTCGCCGCAGCCCACTCACCTCTAGAATGAGAGGGGTGGTGGGCGGGTTTAGGGTTTAGGGTTTAGGGCTTAGGGTTTAGGGTTTAGGGTTGAGGGTTGAGGGTTAAGGGTTGAGGGTTGAGGGTTTAGGGGAGTCGGTTTTGGAGCCACAGCCCTGTGGATGCCTAGGAAAACTGGGATGCTTCCTAAACACCAGGTCCTCCCCCCCCGCCCCCCAAAATAAAACAAAGAGCAGCGCTTTGGTTTAGGGTTTAGGGGTTTCGGGTTTAAGGGTTTAAGGGCTTAAGGATTTAAGGGTTTGAGGGTTTAAGGGTTGAAGGGTTTAAACCTAAACCCGACACCGCCTGGCCCCCAAGATCCCCTTAGGCTCGGAAGGGCCTTGGAGCGCAAGCGCTAGTTGCGGGTTTGGGGGAGGTTTGTTCGGGCTGAGGGCCCTCTGGGCCCGCGCTAGGGGGCTTCTTAGAGTAGGGTTGAAGGCCTAGGGCGCTCTAGGGTTTAGGGTTTAGGGTGTAGGGTTTGGGGTTTCGGGTTTTATGTTTTTAGGGTTTTAGGGGTTTCGGGGTTTAGGGTTTGGGGTTGCAAGCTTGGTAGCTCAGTAGCCGTCTGACAACAAGGGCACTCTTTTTGGGTGGGGGCTCACTTTATTCGGGAACCAACATAGGGCCGAAAGGCACTACTGGCCACCAAGCAAGCTGAGGCCCACGCAAGGCAGCGGCGAGGAGAGGAATGGCTTCGATCCGTGGGGGGTTGAGGCGCTTGGGGTTTAGGGGCAAATCCTCGGGTTACCCTAAACCCTAAACCCTAAACCCTAAACCCTGCAAGGCCTCTGGAGCTTGAAAAGCTGCAGGCTTTTGGGCTCAGAAGGGATTGAGCAGGCTTCCAGGTGCAGGGGAAAGCACTGCAACGGCGCCTTAGCTTCCTAAACCCCCAAACCCTAAACCCTAAACCCTAAACCCTAAACCCTAAACCCCTCAACCTTGAACCCCTAAGCCCAAAACCCTAAACCTGAAACCCCTAAACCCTAAACCCTGCAAGCCCCCCTTCTTTTGCTTCCAGAGTCTCCTCGCCTTCATCCGCTCATCCCTCGGAGGTGCCCACGTCGTTGTACGCATGGGGGTGGGTGGCGAGAAAAACCCCCTAAACCCCTAAACCCCTAAACCCCTAAACCCCTAAACCCCTAAACCCCTAAACCCCTAAACCCCTAAACCCCTAAACCCCTAAACCCCCTAAACCCCTAAACCTCTAAACCCCTAAACCCCAAACCCCAAACCCTCAACCCTAAAGCCCCCCCAAACCCCAAACCCCAAACCCCAAACCCCAAACCCCAAACCCTAAACCCTAAGCCACTCTATCGTACGTGGCAAGGTCATATGAAGAGTGGGCAAGGACATGTAGAATGCGGGCAAGGTCATATGAACACCGGGGAGTACCTAAACCACAAACCCTAAACCCCAAACCCTGAACCCTAAACCCCTAAACCCCCAAAACCCTAAACCCTGAACCCTAAACCCTAAACCCTAGACCCTCAAGTAGGGTTCAGGGTTAGCCTTGGACATTGGCGCGCACGTCTCGCTTCCCAACACCCCATGCTTCCCAGCCCACCCATGCCAGCTCGGACTTGCCACGCCCACAAAGACGAGACAGTACAAGAGGCTTCGTGGGGGTTGACCCCTAAACCCTAAAAAACCCGAAACCGTGTGTCCTGCTACTTTTCTTCCGTGCATGCACATAAGAAAGTCGCAGCACACATAATTCCTAAAAAAACGCAAAAGGCTAAAAACTACACACGTCCGGAAATGACCGAATCGGAGGATATGGTTGGTCTTCTTTATGGTCCGTGGTTGGGTTCCTATGACCATACAGGATACCCAAATAAGAGCCCCTCAGCTTCGAGAATGTCCCACGCTAAATGGTTTAGGGCTTAGGGCTTAGCGCTTAAACTCCCTAAACCCTAAACCCTAAACCCTAAACCCTAAACCCTAAACCCTAAACCCTAAACCCTAACCCTTGTAAGCCCGAATTTGGAGAATACCTCCAATATAGGGGGGTGGGGCGGGGGTAATCCCCATGTACCCTGAGTGTCCTATACACCAACCTAAGCCTCTGGGTCCAAAGGGTCTAGGGTAGGGATGTTCCCCCTTTTACCTAAAATAGCCCTTCAGAGGGATTCTCATAGGGGGATAGTATAAAGAGGGAACATCCCAAGTCTAGGGTTGAGAGTTTAAAAAACCAATAGACCCTGGGAGGCATCTTGAGCCGTGACTCGAGTCCTGCAGCACGCGAGTGGGCAGTGAGACGTTCCGTCATGCAGCACGCAGCGGCCCCGCAGCCGGGACAAAGCTCCCGGCGACGGCGCCGAAACGTCCACTCCTCGCTGACGCGTTTGGGGGTGATTCAGGGTTTTTGGGGCGATTCAGGGTTTAAGGTTCGAAGTTTAGTGAGTTTAGTCGTTTAGTGCACAACACCACTGCGGAAATCGGGAGCCCCCGACGAGGGTTTAGCCGGCTAATGCGAAGATGAGGCGTGCAGCGAGGAGCGCAGAAAAAGAATTCCTCATGACATGTGGCTGGATCGCTTCGGTCTCAGGCCACATGCCAATGCACAAAACTCAGGGGCGAGGCTCCGCAGGAAGAGCGCGCGAACGGAAGCTCGGGACATCATATGACTGTTGCACTCCCATGAGCGCTAAGTCCAAGTGACCGGCAGAGTGGACCCAGGCAGACGATTCTCGTGCTCAAGGGCCCACTACGCGGTGGATTCAGGTGAGACCGCTAGTGGCTATGTACGGAAGGCGCAGCCACCCCGGTGCCATGGGCTTGGGGCTTATTTTTAATATGTTACATCTATACTGAACTTGGCACCCTAGCAAAAATTATAGTTTTTGCTGTTCCTTAGGAGTTTATAGTAACCAAAAAATTAAAAATTATCTCCAAGTACCCCTAAGATAAAGGGGCAACAGCTCCTGTAGCCCATGCGCTTCGTGCCCTCCCCCTCCTGAGTCTCAAACCCAACACAGCTTTCAGTATCAAACATGTACTTCAAGTGGAATCATATTTTGGGGGTATTCGCGGAA